AAGACCATCCATCTCATATACAATAAAACCAAAAAGTTCAATGGCCCGCCACATTGGAGAGAGTTTGGGCACCAGCCCTCGTGCGTGTTCAGTGGGCGTGCAAACTAGCATCACCCTCTGGAGGCATGAACACTGGAGGGTGTTTAGCCACGTCTCTCAGTATTAACGACATCCGGGGAGCCGGCACGATGCGTAAAGGGCACAAGCAAAGTGAGTTTATGTACTTAGACATCAGCAGAGTGGTGACCTTGGGGCTTAGTGACCATGTGGGGCCACAAAGGGACTTCAGGGGACTAGAACAGTCCATTTCTAGGTCTGCATTTGGGTGTGTGTGCTCGGTGTGTGACAACCCATTATGCTGTAGACTGAGACATGCAAAAGTACACCAGTGACATTTCAACTAAAAATTTTAGAAATGCACAGACCCTTTGACTCAGCCATTGCACTTCTAACAACGTACAGATGAATTTATCTGTGTGCACACGAAATAATACATCCAGAAAGACCTTCCCCGTAGTCACGTTTGGAGAGGCACAAGACAGGAGCGACTGTCCAGCATTAGGGGCGGGTTGCATCATGATGGTACAACCTTGCAACAATTTCCCCTTTGCAGCCCTTCGCAAAAAAGGAAGCAAAGTTTTAGGTTCTGATAAGGTCTGCTCTCCAAAATGTATTCATAAAAAGAAAAAAGAAAAAAAAAGAAAGTGCAAAATGTAGTTCATAGTGCAAAATAAACAAAAAAACCAACAACAGGGGAGCAGGATCTATATGTCCGTATGTTTATATATGTTTAGAATATGTGGCTGCTTCTGGGAAGGGGGCTGGGAGAGGAGGCTGGGGTGGAAGCAGATTTACTTTTTAAGCTTCTGAAATATTTAAAATTGTATTTCACACAACTATGACCAAGGGGCGAGGGAAAAAACGCACCACTTTCTCAGCTTGGTGTTCAGGGTGTTCCCACCGGGTCAGTCCAAGCTCCCAAGAACCAGGCAGACTGCAAATGTAGCCAGCTGTGGAACTCGCCCCAACCTCCCAGCCCTGCAACTCATCTTCCCAGATCCAACCCTTGCCCTCCTCCAGGCAAGACACGGAGACCCCTGCCTCTTCCTCCTCAGTCTTCTTCCTTCTGGCATTTTCCCATGTCTTTCTGGCATCACAGTCCAGCGCGTTCAGTGAAAGCCCAGGTCCTGCGTGTTGGGCTGTCTGTCCCTCTCCCTGGCTTCCCCTGCCGCAGCCGCACAGCGACCCTCTCCCCAGCCCTGGAACACAGCAGGCCCGTTCCCACTGCGGGGCCTTGGCGCTGGCAGTTCCCTCTGCCTGGAATGCCCTTCCGCGGCTGGCTCCTTCTCAGGCAGGGCCAGCCCACTCCACTGGCCACTCTGTTCCACTCTATTCCATTACTGTCAATTCTGCAGAGGTCGAGCGTGGACGCTGCCCACTCTCCACCACTAATCAGCTGAACTGTGGGCAACAGGTGCCACCTTCCTATGTCCCCAATCCCTTGTCTGCAAAATACGGTGATGACGACAGAGCCACTCTCAGAACAGCGACAGCCACATACTGCGCTGATAGAAGAATTGCCCGCCAATGTTATTACTTCCTTGATGGCACTATGTTCCACAATAATCTTGTTCCACCTACTTTCCATTTATTTATGACCCACCCCTCACTGCCACCCCACCACGAAAGCTCCCGGAGAGGGGTCGTTTGCTGTGCCTTGTACATATAGCAGGCGCTTAATTTTTTTTTTTAATTGTGGTCAAATACACATCACATAACATTGACTGCTTTACAGGGTACAATCCAGGGGCAGTAAGGACGTTCACAGGGTTGTACATCCACCATCACTATCTAGTTCCCAACTTTTTCATCACTCCAAAAGGAAACCCCACATCAGCTAAGCAGTAAGTCCCCACTGCCCCTCCCCCAGCCCCTGGCAGACAGCCCGGTCTGCTGTCTGTTCTGTGATGTTCCTGTTCTGGACATTTCATACCCTGTAAATGGGATCCTATAACATGCAGCCTTTCGTGTCTGGCTGTTTTCATGTTTTCCAAGGTCCATCCGTGCTGCAGCATGTTTCAGTCCTTCATTCCTTTTCATGGCTGAGTCATATTCCACTAAACAGACAGAACACATTGTGTTCGCCCCTTCATCAGCTGATAGACACCTGGGATAATTCCACTCTTTGGCTATTATAAAAAGAGTTGCTATGAACATTCACGTATAAGTTGCTTAATAATTTTTAAAAGAGTGAAAGAGTCTATCATTCTCCTAGCAGACAAATCCCTTTCCTATATAAGTCTTCTCCTATTTACTAAATGCTTATTCTGTGCCTGGTATTGTACAACCCAACCTGACCCCTTCAACGCCCCCATTTGTCTCCTCTGCACAGATGAGACACAGAGAGGTAAAGCAACTGGCCCGAGGTCACAGGGCGAGCAGGAAGCTGGGCTGGGATTCGAACCCATGTCTGTTAGGACAGCAGGCCCCATGCTCCAAATAGGAAGGTCATGGGTTTATTTCAGACAAGTCCCAGATTAGAATAAGGGATGTTCTTTTTTTTTTTAAATACAATCAAGCTTCATAACCCACAAAGCAGGTATGGCTCAAATTAGTAAATTCAGGCATGCTGAAAAACTACACTTGCTAGCAGACCCACTTTTCCTTCAATTAAAATTAATAAAACAATATCCTCAAGCCTGGCTGGTCTGAGCTGCACCGACAGGAAGTAAAATAAGTCAGGTCAACCTCATTCCAGATGCTGCTCGGCTGCGGCAACACGGACAGGGCTGTGGGGCTGGGAGACCCATGAGAAGTACGAATGTGGGATCCAAAGCCCACTCTGCTTGGGTTCAAATCCCGGCTCTGCCACTCAGTCTGAACTGAAGCCGACCATCGCACCACTCTGTACATTGAACAGTGCCTACCTCATAGGGGTATTCTAAGGATCAAATTAGTTTTACCTATAAGAGCACTGAGCACATGTCAAGCAAATAACAGAAGTTAGCAGTTTTATCATCATCCCTGTTGAAGGCACAAACTCTGGTTTACCCCAGAAAGAGCTCTGACCCCCAGATTCTCAGACTCTTTCTTCCAGACACCAACCCAGAGGTAAAAACTCTTAAATATCCATTTCGTATTTCACCTCTGTTGACCTTACATTGTCCCAGGGAACCACTGTCAGCTGAGACATGGGGTTCCTTGTGCTTACCCTGCATAAAAAAGGCAGACTTCTTTTTGCTCTAAAACACATGATTGATTTCTGCCTTCAAACGGCTCAGGCAGGGCAGCAAGAGGAAAGTGCTCGCAGAGGCCCTTTGCACACACCCCCATGCCCGGGCGGACTCCAGGGCAACCTTTAGCACCCCGGTGCTCAGCCTGCCCCCTTCTCCCTCTCTGGCCACCTACACAGAGTCCTGTCTCCCAGACTGTATTTTCCCCACAGGATAAAGACACGCACCCACACCGTGGCAAAAGGCATCCACACACGCGTAGGAAAGATGGTCAGAAGTTAACACTTTTTCTAACAAATTAACCTGGCTTTCATTTTATGCAATAAGAACATCCAGCCAATGTAATTTGTTTTTTTTTTTTCTTTGAGCTAGAGTCTCACGCTGTTGCCTGGGCAACAGTGTAGTAGCATCATCATAGCTTACTGAAGCCTCAAACTTCTGGACTCAAGCGATCCTCCTGCTTCAGCCTCCCAAGTAGCTGGGACTACAAGCACACGCCACCATGCCTGGCTAATTTTTAAATTTTTACTAGAGATAGAGTCTGGCTCTTGCACAGGCTGGTCCTGAACTCCTGATCCTAAGCTCAAGTGATTCTCCCGCCTCGGCCTCAGAGAGTGCTAGGATTACAGGTGTGAGCCACCGAACCAGGCCCTAATTTGGGTTTTAATGTTCTTTTTTTCTCCATCTCAAGGACCTGAAAACTTTTTATTTTTTTAATCCTATAGGTCCTGTAGCATGGCTTAGCAGAGTTGGTTTGTACCCTGGCCAGAAAATAACAACAGCAGCAGACACTAATTTTTAGCTATGCTTCTGGGCCAGGAAGGTACCAACTATTCATAATTACAACCTCATAATGAAGGGAGTATTATTACTATCCCCATTTAACAGATAAAGAAACTGAGGCCCAAAGAAGTGATGCCACTTGCCTAACGCCATCCAGCTTGTAAATGGTAGAGCCCCAGGTTGAATCCAAGCTTCCCTCCACTCCAAAACCCCAGGGCTAGCAGCGAGCGAAGAAATTAACAGGAGGAACAGCAAGGGAACCGCATTACCACGTGCAACTGCCCCCATTAATTAACTTCCGCTTTCTCGGGTGCTGGTCGGGGACTTTGGCCCAGAATGGCGCACCTATCTCACCCAGCTCCAGAGAAGAAGCGGGAATGGGGAAAACTGCCTGTGCTCCTCCTAGGGCTCAACACCATTCCCTGGGGGCTGCAGGCTGCTGGACTGCCCCCCAAACAAAAGGCTCCCAGTGACCCCGCAGCCCCCGCACACAGTAGGCGCTCGTGCTGCCAAAGCAGTAGCGCGACCGCATGGCGCCCTTTCTTCCGTAAGCGAAGCAAGCCTGCATATCTTCCAGGCGGCAGGAGGAGGGCCTAAGGGGCTGGGGGAGCGGGTCGCGAGCGCGGCCAGGACAAATCCGGGGTGCCGGGGGCAGCGCAGCAGCGTGGCACAGGGGCCGCGTCGCAGGGCAGGGCGCCCCCGGGCAGCGGGCAGGGTGCCTGGCTCACAGTCCGTGCCCATTCAGACGTGGTGAATGAATGAATGAGAGGCGCGGCGGGCGTCAGCGCAGCCTGGAGCGGCTCGGGCCGCGCCGCCCGCGGGGCCAGGGGCCCAGGAGCGCGGCGGCGCGGGGCCTCCCCGGCCCGGCCGGCCCGCCTCCGCGCCCGCCGCGGCCGGCAGCCCCGAGGCCGCGCGCAGCCCAGGCCGGTCCCGGCGCCAGGTGCGCGGCGGCCGGGGCAAGGTGACCGCGGGCCCGCCGCCCACCTTCTGCGCGGCGCGCACGTTGTCCTCGCCGAACAGGCTGCTGACGCTCTGCGAGAAGGTGTTGACGGTGCGGCGGTAGCTGTTCTTCTCGCCGCCGCCGCGGCCCCGCGCCCCCTGCGCGCCGGGGGCCAGCAGCCCGAGCAGCAGCAGCAGCAGCAGCGGCGGCAGGAGCCCGGCCCGGGCCCGGGGCCCCGGCGAGAAGCGTGCGCCCATGCTCGGCCGGCGGGGTGCGGGTCGCGGTGCAGGGAGCGGGCCGCGCGCAGGGCCACCGCGGGCTCCGGCGAGGGAGCGTTGGCGCGCTCGAGGGCCGCGCCCGCGCCTTGCCCGCCGCCGCCGCCGCGCCGCTGCGCCACCTGCCGCCCCGCGCAAAGGCGCGACGGCCCTGCCCGCGCCGGCCCGCCCCGCGCCGACCGCCGCCCACCCGGGCCCGCGCGGGGCCCGGCCTCCCGGAAGCCTGCCCTAACCTGGTGGGGCTTTTCACCGTTTTTTAAAAAATAATTTTCATTCTTAACTGTACCGTGCAAAGCAGCCCATGTCTGCAAAACTTGCAGCAACCTCGACATGGGTAGTGACTGCAACTGATTGGAAAACATTAAATGTGCGTGTGGGATATGCATGCACATATATGCCTACATATATATATACATATATATATACATATAATCTTCCCAAATTTATTATAATGGGACCCCAAAATTGGCCACCGTGGGCATCAGCTCATTCATTCTCAAATTTTTAAATAAACAGAGGCATCAAGCATCCCTCCTGCCCGTCCCGAAGGAACTGTATTTCAGAGCCACGGAAGACTTGGGGAGGGAAGGTTCGTTCCTTTTGGAAAAGTCTATCTCATACGTGCGCAAGGTGACTAGAACGTCCTTTGCACTCTAATGAGATGATGGACCCCGGCGGCGATCATCGGAGGAGACCAACCCCAGGAGGGGGAACTGCAGGCGCGGGGCCACGTGGGGAACACTGGTCCCGCAGGGCCACGTGGGGAACACTGGTCCCGCCAATCGGGCCGGGTGTCAGGAAGTGCCAGCGCCGCCTGCGACCGGTGTCGCCGAGGCGCGCCGAGCTCGAACCTCCTCTGGCCTCCACATCCAAACAACAGTTTACAGGAAATAGGGGGTACGGAGGGAAAAGTCAGAAGCAGGCAAAAGCAAGGAGCCCACGCCAGAGTGTAGGGCATTCTGCAAGACAAACGGCCCAGTTTCTTCAGGAAATAAACGGTGGGAAAGGTGAAAGGGGGGGATTATTGGTTTTAAAGACTGAAGAGCCTGAACAACCAAATGCAGTGCAGGACCTCTGTTTGCATCCGGAATCAAACAAAACAAGTCTAACCGGATTTATTTTTTGCCAATCCTAGGGTGAAAAATTGTTTCTTATTTTTGAACTCACATCTTCCAGATTCCTAGTTGAGGTTTTCATGTATTTTATGGGCCATTTGATTTACTCCACTGTGGATTGCCTGTTCATATCTTTTGAACATTTTTTTTTCTTGTGCTGTTTATCTTTTTTTTTTTCTTTTTACACAGCTAATTGGACTGAATGTTTATCTTTTTTTAAGAGTAAACTTTTTTATTGACGTGAACAAAACATAGGAAAATACACATATTGTAGGTGCCTCTTTATGAACTTTCACAAACAGAACACACAAGGTAACCAGCAACCAGATCAAGAAATGGAATATTTTCAGCTCCCCCAAAAGGCTCCCTGTGTCCCCTCCTATTCACTATGTCCCTTCCAAAATTTAGGATTCATTTTGCCTGTGTTTAAATCTTATGTAAAGGGAATCACACAGTAGGACTCTTTTGTGGTCGGCTTCTTTTGTTAAACTTTTTATTTGAGATCCACCGACCTTCTTGAGTAAATGCGTTTTTTTCTTGATTTATAGGATGTTCTTTATATCTTCTAGGAGCTAATCCTTTGGTATATAATATTTTAGAAGAAAATATAGAAGATGGCTGGGTGTGGTGGCGCACACCTCTAATTCTACCACTCTGGGAGGCGGGGGTGGGAGGATTGCTTGAGTTCAGGAGTTCGAGACCAGCCTGAGCAAGACCAAGATCTCCCCCCATCTCTACTAAAAATAGAAAAATAAAATTAGCTGGGCAACTAAAAATAGAAAAAAATAGGAGCGTGGTTGGGAGGCTGAGGCAGTAGGATTGCTCGAGCGAGCCCAGAAGTTTGAGGTTTCTGTAAGCTAGGCTGACGCCATAGCACTCTAGCCTGGGTAACACAGCAAGGCTCTGTCTCAAAAAAAAAGAATATATGACTACCTACTTAATATGTTTTAAGGGAACATGGTTTTTTATGAAACAGGGTCTCGCTCTGTTGCCTGGGCTGGAGTGCAGTGGAGAGATCGTAGCTCACTGTAACCTCTAACTCCTGGGCTCAAGGGACCCTCCAGTCTGGGCCTCCGAAAGTACTGGGATTATAGGCCTGTGCCACCGCACCCAAATGGACACACTTTTAATGTACTTAAATAAACATATTTAAGAGGAAACTTTAGATCACTATCATCCTAAGCAGCAAAATCTATGAAAACACAGGTTTAATATACTAACTATACTTTTAAAAAATTCACTGAAAATAATATACAACTTTAAAAAAAATAGGCCAGGTGTGGTGGCTCATGCCTGTAATCCTAGCACTCTGGGAGGCCAAGGCCGGAGGATTGCTCAGCCAGGAATTTGAAACCAGCCTGAGTAAGAGTGAGACTCGGCTCTACAAAAAATAGAAAGAAATTAATTGGCCAACTAAAAATATATAGAAAAATTAAAGCGGGCATGGTGCCCATGCCTGTAGTCCCAGCTACTCGGGAGCTGGAGGCAGAAGGATTGCTTTAATCCCAGAGTCTGAGTTGCCGTGAGCTAGCTGACGCCATGCACTCTAGCCCGGCAACAGAGTGAGACTATGTCTCAAAAAAAAAAAAAATGTTTACTTGTATGATACCTAAATCCTGTCCTGTATCACCTAAGTTTGTGTTTTGTTTTTTTGTCTTTGTTTTTTTCTTTGCAGAGGAGAGGAGCTTATCCAAATTCAATCACACTCTTCATTTATTCACTCACTCATTCATTCATTCATTTAAAAAATACTATAGGCGGCACGGGCTCACGCCTGTAATCCTAGCAGCCTGGGAGGCCGAGGCGGGTGGATTGCTCGAGGTCAGGAGTTCGAAACCAGGCTGAGCAAGAGCGAGACCCGTCTCTACTATAAATAGAAAAATTATTGGCCACTAATATATATATATATATAAAATTAGCCGGGCGTGGGGACATGCCTGTAGTCCAGCTACTCAGGAGCTGAGGCAGAAGGATTACTTGAGCCCAGGAGTTGAGTTGTCTGTGAGCTAGGCTGACACCACGGCACTCACTATAGCCTCAACAAGCAAGATCTGTCTCAAAAAAAAATAAAATAAAAAATAAAAATACCTATAGCTTACCAAGTCTGCAGCCAGACCTGATTCCCAGCCCGAATTAATGCTTTTAACAGAAAAAAATTGTGGTACAATATAACTGTTCTACTCACAAGATAATTACAGGATTCAGAAAATGCATTATTTCCGAGTGTGAATACAGACAATTGATGGATCGGTAATGAGAGTTTAAAGTTGGCTAATAGATGCCTGCTCTTTTGATCTTCTGTCTGTTCCTTGTGATGGAACTATTTGTGGTGCTTTTGTACTACACAGCTGAATACATGTTTCTTGTAGGAATATTAGGAAGTGCAGATGAACAAAATAGAGTGGGAGAATACATTTGTAGTATTAGGGTCCCAGGTTGTATTTTAAAAGGCGACAAGGTAGGCGCGGTGGCCACGCCTGTAATCCTAGCACTCTGGGAGGCGAGGCGGGGATCGCTCAAGATCAGGAGTTCAATACAGCCTGAGCAAGAGCGAGACCCCATCTCTATATAAATAGAAAGAAATTAATTGGCAACTAACATATATATAGAAAAATTACGGCATGGTGGCACATGCTGTAGTCCCAGCTACTCGGTAGGTGAGAGGAGGATTGCTTGAGCCAGGAGTTTGAGCTGCTGGAGCAAGGCTGACGCTATGGCACTCACTCTAGCCTGGACAAACAAGTGAGACTCTGTCTAAAAAAAAAATATAAAATAAAAAAAACATAAAAAAAATAAAAATAAAAGGTGACAAAAGACTCCCACTCTCACGTAGCCAAATGAGTAATTTTTTTATATTTAATATATATATATTTTTTACACTGTTCATTCAGGGTCTAGCCAAATGAGCATTAGCAGCTAGTTCAGATTTAGACACCAAGCACACCGCGCGGGAACAGCCCTAGGCAGGGCTGGGCAAGGGACCTGGGGCCCCGCCCCCTTATCTGCATAGCCCTGCCCCTGGCCCGCCCCCGACCCAACACACACGCCCCGCCTCCGGCCTGGTCCCGCCTTCAGCCCGGCACCTCAGCGTCCCAGTCAGTTCCGACTCTCGCGATAGCTTAATCCGGAAGTCTCGCGGCTGGGTTGGTGGTCTGGGCACCCACGTGGGCTGGGCCTCAGGTAGACTGGGTGCCGCCGCCGGCGGAGTAGAGCTGGGCGGAGGCGCCGCCATGGGGAAGCTGCGCCGGCGGTACAACGTCAGGGGGCGCCAGCAGGCGGGCCCCGGCCCGTCCAAGGGCCCCCCGGAGCCGCCCCCGGTGCGGCTGGAGCTAGAGGGTAAGGCGTCCCGGGACCGCGGTCGGGCTTGGCGGCAGGGCCGCCCCGAGCCTCGCCGCCAGGGCCGGCAGTGAGGGCGGGCGTCCTCCGGCCTGTGCGCTTGCGGCCTCCCCAGCTCTGGGGCGGGGGGCGCAGAGGCGCCCCCATTCCGGATGATCCTGAGGAGGGGAGTTGGGGGGGCAGTGCTCGGGGCTTCTCTCGCCCTCCTGTAGGCCAGCGCTAGACTAGGCCCTGGAGACGTAGCAGAAAAGGAGATCTTAAAGATCCCCGCCACCCGGAGTTTACATGCTCGCGGGCGGAGACAGGCAGGGGAAACGCGCGAGGTGTAGAACGTCGTGTGGCTGCGCAGCAGGGGCGGCGCTCGCGAGGTTGCAGGGTTCCGCAGGGTTCCGCAGGGTTCCGCAGGGATGCGGGGCGGGCCTCCCTGTGCGGGAGTCAGGACCGGGCTGGCCCGGTGAGAGGAGAGAGAAAACGGGGCCCAGGGCACGTCGGACCTCACCGGGCTAGGTGAGGACTGGCGCGTTTCTCTGAGTGAGAAGAGAGCGCAGGGGGTTTACGCAGAGGAGGGGCAGTAGAAGGCAAAGGGAGAATCAGGGTGGTGGGGCGGGAGGTGGAGCGGATGCTTGGACCAGGAGACAGCAGTAGGGGAGGTGAGAAGTGGGT